ATACCTTTAAGATATACTAGAAATGGCTTATTTTCAATAAGGTAATGACAATTTGCCTTTCCACTAATTGTGTATGAGGGAGTCTTATTCCCTGCTATCCTTTATTTGGTCATCCTCCTATTTTTGCCAACATTGTTTGTTGTTAGTCTTTGTCGATATTTTATATAAGTAGAACCATACATTATTTATCCCTTGACATCTGATGTAGGGTTGTTATGAGTCAGAAACGACTTGATGGCAATGAGTTTTGGTTTTATATGACGTATTTTACTTTGTATAAAGTTTTGAAGGTTAATTCATGTCATATTGTGTTTGGACATAGTTTATCTTTATGGTTGGACAATGTTTCATTGTATGGATATACTTTATTGTGTTTATCCATTTATCTGTTGATGGATGATTGAGTTTTCCATCTTTTGGCTTTTACAAATAATACTGCAATGAACATTGATGTACATTTATCTATTAAAATGCTCACTTTTGATTCTTTTGAATATTTGCCTAGGAATGGGATTACTGGTCATATGTTAATTCTTAATTCCCGCACTCCAGGGGGATGAACATCAACTGTGGGGGAAGGGAGATAGCGGGTTGGTGTAAAATGTGAAAATAATAAAAATTTATAATTTATCAAGGGGTCATGAGTGGGAGGAGGGTGGGGGAAGAGGAGCTGATACCAAGGGTTCAAATAGAAAGTAAATGTTTAGAAAATAATGCTGGCAACATATGTACAAATATGCTTTATACAATTGATATATGGATTGTTATAAGAGCTATAAGAGCCCCCAATAAAATGATCTTTTAATAACAATTAAAAAAGGGGTTACAATCTTAGAAAAATCAAAGGGCCAGTTCTGCCCTATCCTATAAGGCTGCTGTGAGTTGGTATTGGGTTTTTGTTTTAATGCCTAATGAAGTTGTTCTAATGGTACAATGGTTAAAACACTCAGTTGCTAATTTAAAGGTGAGCAATTTGAAACCAGATTTGGTGATCTTTTCCTACAAAGATTACAGCTTAGGAAATCCCATAGGGAAGTTCTACTGTCATGCAGGGTTGCTCTGCGTCAGAATTGACACAATGACCCACAACAACAAGGACTAATAAGGTTGAACATCTTTTCTTTGGTTAATGATCATTGCCACTATCTTCTTTGGAGAAATGTCTATTCAAATTTTTTGCCCAATTTTTTTTCTGTTGTTTGAGTTATAGGAGTTTAAAAATAAATATGTTCTCGGAAATAAATCTTCTTTATTTGTTATGTGGTTTTTCAAATACTTTCTCCTACCAGTGTAGGTTGACTCTTCTATTTATTGACAAAGTTGTTTTATACACAAAAGTTTTACATTCCGATGTTCAATTAAACTTTTATTTCCTCAGTTTTTGATATGATTTCTAAGATTCCATTGTTTAAAACTAGGTCTCGAAGCATTATCTATGTTTTTTTTGCTGAGAGTTTTATGGGTTTAGTTCTTATATTTAAATAATTGATCCATTTTGAGTTCATTGTCATTAAAGGTGTGAGGTATACATGTAACTTCATTCTTTGGCATGTGGAGGTCCAGTGGTCCCAGGATTATTTATGAGGCCTTAACTTTCAGAATTCAATTAACTTAATATCTTTGTCAAAAGTCAGTTGACCATAAATATATGGGTTTATTTTTAGACCCTGGATTCTATTTTATTGATCTATATCTCTATTCTTA